GCGCAACCCCTTCAGGCTAGTGATCTATTCAGTACATTTCCACGTCAGGTAGGGAAAAATTACACCTTAAATTACTTCATTCGTCATGAATCTTTATGCAGTTTTGTATTTTTCAATAATGGATGAATTTCTGTTTCAGAAACCGTCAGCAATATGTAATGACGACTGTAAAGCAGGCACGAGGCGTCATTATATCGAGAATGAGCAGAGGTGTTGTTTCCGTTGCCTGCCCTGCTCTGGGAATACCATATCAAACACTACAAGTAAGTACTGCACATGTGCACACTGTTAGAAGAACATTATGGTATAACCTCTTTATTTATGACATCACCTAATGGATGAAATTCAATGTCAAGGCAAAACTACTAATTACCGTGAGGGAGTTAATTCATCCAAGTTATCAAAATCCTATTACATTGGTACGCGCGTCTCTGTATAATATGCTTACATAGTCTCGGCTGAATGCCACTTTAAACCATGGACCTATTAATAGGTCAATGTTTAAACAAACCTATTATTCACATAATTGCATAAAATATAGGACTAAATTTACGTTTATTTTATGTAGACGAACACTCGTGTTTTAAAAATGCATCATGGTTAGTGTCTCTTAAAGTTAATTATGAACATCATTGTTTACATTACTTAAAATATAATTAGCCTAATTTATACATCAACGTATTATGTCTATGTGTGATTATAATATTATAGGATGTATGCTTGTTGTGCCTGTCTTTCAGGGAAACTCTTGGGGGCGCAAAATTCTTAATCAATACAAACATAGGTCTTATTTTTAGGTATAACAATAATTCTGGACGCTTTTAGCATGGAGTTTTTTCCTAAAATGATATGTTATGCCAATATTAGTTTGCTTCTTATGCCACAAAACACTTTTCCTTAGTTATGTGATACAATCAATCCCGCAAATCTTGCAGAATGTAGAACCTAATCCACTCAATTATGTCAGTATTTCAGCATAGGACGTCATTTCCAGTGTCCAGGGGGCGGTGCCAGTGTGGACGTCAAAATTCAAAACATTTAATATGTATTATTATTGTTTTTTTTATATTTTAGTTTTTTCTGCAATTTATCTCTTAAAAGTATGAAAACCGAATGTATTTAACTTTTACTTATTATATAGAGTAGCCTATTGATTCATTTTTGGTCTCCCTGATCTCTTGTTTACTGTTAGTGTTAGTTGGTTATTGAGAGTACTAAGGTTGACCTCTGTTGTTTATTTTATTATAATTATTATTTTTTTATTTTGTAGGTGTGTGTGTGTGTGTTTGATGAAGACATAGAACTATGTATTTACGTATTGGATGTGTTCTGAAAAAAAAAAAACCTCCATTGCCACTTCGTGACTTTGATTGTCTGGCGTTGTTTTTTTTTTAAATATCCATTTCCTATTAGCTGCCGTAATTGGCGTTTATAGTACGTATCTAATTTTAGTTTCCTCTTCTTTTCCTCATTTCTAAGGTTATCGACAAAAACTGGATGTTTATTAAACTCAAGCGACGTTGTTGGTATTTCTCTAAATGTGGATGTTTAGAGATGTTTCGTTAGGCCTACTTCTGTCCTCTAAATTTCTTACATTAACAGTATGATTTCATTTTATTGGCACGGTTTTTTTGTCAGTGCTGTTGTACAATATTAGGCAGCATTTGCTGCTGTCTGTCTTTCACATGTTTAATGTTTAAGTTGTAATACTTTCCTCGGAGTGTCAGAGCTTAAATTCGTTATGACTTCCTACATTGATGGTAAGTAGGCCTAAATAATAGATTAATGAACTATGTATCAAGTCGCCATCAATGATATTTACACATATGTTTTGTTATTCATCCATCAATACTTGGAGACCGTGTTTCAATTATAAAATTTAAAAAAAAACATCTTGGCCTCATAGCACTGTTGGCAGAGCAACGAAACCGTTTTTAGAAAGGTCAATATAGTGCAAATCCTCTTCGGGACGTAACTTACGTTATAATTTTGAAAAAGAAAATTAATTGTATTTTGATACACCACAAAGGGGAACAATCTTAACACATTAGTTAACGTTAACAGAAAAAAATAACTTTCTTTATTAAAGTATAAGGAAGTACTTATAAGAAAATAAATTGACTTAAACATAACACAAATGTGTTATGGAGGTAGTTAACTTAGTCTGTTGTATTCCATTATTATAGTACGAGGAAGCACTTGGACATCTATTCTTATGTGAATGGGATGTTGCCATGTGATAGGTGGTGTTTTTTTAAAACATTATGGGGATGAGTTCCATTTTGTTATAAATAGGAGCCTTGTATACAAGCTCATTTTGTCGCCTGAAGTTTTACGTTTCTTATGAGATTTCCTTATGAGCCAGTTTCTTGTCAATTTTGTCTTGGAAAATTTTCTCTGAAACTCATTTAGGTGTATTGTTAAATGATGCGAGCAAATGTGGGCTGAATATTAAACGCTGTTGTGCAGCTTAGGGAAAAGGCATATCGATATTCCAATCTTAACACAGTGTTCATAACTAAGTCAACAATAAATCGTTAAAGGACAGTAATGCGTCAGAAGGCGCTAAGGTGCGTTGAACGTACACACCACATGCAACAAATTAATGTTTCACTTTCCTTTACAACACACTGCATGTCGCGTGTCCTATTATCGAAAAGTACTCACGAACTTCTCCATATTATGTTTGTAAACTTTATATTTTTATAACTACAAACAATATGGCGTATAGATATCATTTGGAAAGATCTGATTACTCGATGGAGAGACAAACGCCGGTGGGTGAAACGATCGATAAGTCATTGCCCAGGTGCTTGGTTTTATTTAATTTTCCTGCATAAATGCAGGACTGAAATAACAAGTCGATATATAATTCGGCGCAGTTGAAACCACACACATCCCTAACACAATCCTGTCTCTTATACACATCTAGATGTGTATAAGAGACAGATATAGGCCTATGTACTGGTTTTGTTATGTTTTAAGGAAGGCCAGATTTTATGAATAACATGTACAAATTTAAATTTAATATTTAACTACAAGCATTTTTGATTTTAAGAATAAAATAGTAAAAGAAGAAACAATCCATGTTAAAACTTGTACATTTTCCGATTACAAATGTTTTTGTCGTAGCTACTATCCGAGGCTTGTTGATGGTATATCCCGAGGCTGTTTGATATTAATACTAGTCACAATATTTGCGCAGTCATGTGTATACACAAGTAATACACATACTACTTGCCTGTATTAATATACCTCATGGGCCCACTTAGCTTTGCAATAATAATAATAGCATATTGATAACTGCCTTCCTTAATTTAGTAAGACACTTATTATAAACAGCCATCGCAATTACTTATGCGAGTTTTTTTCTATTTAAATTTGAAACCATGGTATCAGCACACCATCTTTATATAGGTTTATTAAATCGATTGATTCAATCAAATGCAAAATGTAATTTTTGTTTACTTTTTTTTAGAAATTAAACCCAAGAAAATAAGTTAGGGCGATGCCTGTCAGCAGGAAAAACAGAAAACTGTTATCTATTATATAACATGTTGCTAAAAAAGCAAACCTAAAAATACGAAAAAACACAAACAATGGTGTAACGACGAGTTATGGTGCCCGCGGCAAGAAAATGGAACGGCAATAGTGTCTGAGCTGCCTGATATCATTTCCCTATAACCTACCAGAGTGTTTAGCAGGGGTAGCCCTGGGGGAGGGGTTGGGATGCAGGGCCCCGCCAGGGGAGCCGCCTCGCCCCTCCCCACCACGGTCAGGGAGAAATACCTCAATTCGTCGAGGAGAAAAAATGTGTATGTATTTTCTACATATTAGTAGACCCTAAAATCGATTAAATAAGCCTTTAAAATCCCTCTAAATTGTTAATTTTCCAACCGACGCCCGAGCACGCCCAAGTTTTTTCGGGGATATCGCCCTCTCCCCCAACCCTGTTGGGGATATTTGACCTCTCGGTCGGGCAAATCCTGGCGCCACCCTAGGTGTTTAGCCTAAATTAATCTCAATTACTGACAGTATTTTCACCTGATTAAGCAAGCAATGCCCAACGTGCCTGAAAATATTATTTATTTAGTCAGCCTTCGGTGCAATCATTCTCTCTACAGTCAGATTGTGAATATTAATTACTGTATAAATAGACTCACAGGACTTGCCCTTTCAACATGATCTTCATCCACCTGTGATTTACCGCTGGTTCACTTTTAAAGTACTTTAAGATATAATAATACTGTAGTAGGCAGGCGTAAGCGATCCTGTATGTAACGCATTTGTCGCGCTTTTATCGTTCACTTCAATTTAAGTTAATAAGCACGAATTGCTTATTAATGTTCATTTAGAGGAATCATGATTTGATTAACTATATTCAAATTCCATGTTTTCAATCTATATTGATTTTCTTTCCGCTATAGATGCCGACACGTGTTTGGTCTGTGGACAAGACCAGTACGCGAACAATAACCGGACAATCTGCCTGAAAAAGAGCCCGGATGTGTTTTTGTGGGACGACAGCGTATCTATCATTTTCTGCATCGTAAGCGTTGTAGGGAGCTTGGCAACTGTTGCTGTCTCGTGCATTTTCTACAAACATCGCAGCACACCTGTTGTCAAGGCGTCTAGCTTATCACATAGCTTCGTCTTGGCATTTGTTCTGTTTTTTAGCTTTCAGATGGTTTACTTCTACATAGGAATTCCAACAGATACCCTGTGCAAAGTCAAGTCGATCATCGGCGGGCTTAACCTTACTGCTATCCTAGGCATCTTCTGTGCCAAGCTATACGTCATTGTGAAAATCTTTAATAATAAGCTAAATTTCAAGATACCTACAAAACTCTTCTATCGGTATTCGTGGATGCTGGTTGCAGCTATCACCGCTCTTCATCTAGCATTCAACGTAATCCTTGAAATCGCCATCCCCAGTCACGTTGTTCACGATTACAACAACTCAATAACAATTCTGCCTATCTTCTGCAATGAAACTGATGCTGGTTTTATTGTCACAAACATTTACCAATTGATATTGTCTTTGATGTGCTTTATCTTTGCTTTCCGCGCCCGGAACCTGCCAAAGAATTTCCAAGAAGCGAGGTTTATATGGTTTATCATGTTCACATGGTGTATACTGGGAATTTTCTCAATTCCCGCGCATTTTACAGCCGCTGGAAAACTTAAAATATGTTTCCAAGTAATATTTCTTCTATTATTTAATTTCTTAACACTCTCAGCTTTTTATTTTTCAAAATGCTACCTTATTTATTTTCGTCCAGACAAAAATACAAGAGAAAATTTAAGAAAAGAGATCCGCGAACAAAGAACATATAAACCAAGTGAATATAGCGGTGTACCGACCACAACACTATCGGGCGACGAGGCAAGTTTAGGTCGTGAATTATCGGAACATAATAATGTAAATCATAAAGCTAAATAAAATTAAACTTCGACAATTTTGAATTGCTCTTTCAAAATAATCAGATAATTTATTATTTCAATTTGAATTTCAATTTATTTCACTTGCAGATAAATTAACAACATGTGGCGTAACCACAAAAGCAAAGCTTGTATACATAGCACGCAGTCATACAATTAATAGGCCTAATATAACAAATAGCAAAAATACGAAAATATGGATAGACCTGACTATATGATTAAATTAATATGCAGTATTAAATAAATTAACAAGTGGCGTAACCACAAAAGCAAAGCTTGTATACATAGCACGCAGTCATACAATTAATAGGCCTAATATAACAAATAGCAAAAATACGAAAATATGGATAGACCTGACTACATGATTAAATTAATATGCAGTATTAAATAAATTAACATGTGGCGTAACCACAAAAGCAAAGCTTGTATACATAGCACGCAGTCTTACAATTAATAGGCCTAATATAACAAATAGCAAAAATACGAAAATATGGATAGACCTGAATACATGATTAAATTAATATGCAGTATTAAATAAATTAACAAGTGGCGTAACCAAAAAAGCAAAGCTTGTATACATAGCACGCATTCATAAATTAATATTAATATAACAAATAGCAAAAATACGAAAATATGGATAGAACTGACTATAAGATTAAATTAATATGCAGTGGTACCTGAAAAATAATATGACTTTTAAGGTTTGTTTAAAAAGTGTGTAGTTTTTAAGATACAGTGGTAACTAGTTCCAGAATTTTGGGACAGCGATAAAGATAGTGTGTGAACAAGGGGTGGAAGTGAGAAGACTGTCTAGTTAAGTACCGGTAGTTATTTTTCATTGAGACGTGGATGGAAATAATTTTACAGATGATTTTTGTACAGTATATGCAAGAGTATAGTTGGAGCAAGGATATTTATGCGTCTGCTATATATTTTCTCACTCTAAATTTAAAAAACGTAACAGCTATGCCAAGTAAGCAACTTAAACATACAAGTTTAATGTTAATTTGGTGTAGTTTCCAAAGAGCTTTATTCTCTATCAACACTATCAAATTGTATTTGCCCATTATATGGGCATAATGATGCCATGACACTCATATGCACAAATCAAAATTATTTTTCACATAAAATTTCATATGGTGGCAATGCCGTAGCCAGCTATTGGGACAGTTTGGATCGGACAGTCCCACACAATTTTTCTATTGGGTCCACAAAGAATGGGTCAACATTTTTAAAATGGGTCCAGATTTCTCATATTTTGTGTAAAATGGGTCAATTTTTAAGAAAATCGGTCCAGGATATTCATATTTTGGCGTAAAATGGGACTTTCTTAAGAAACTAGGTTTACATTATTTGAATTTAAACGTAAAGTGGGTGCACACTGATACAGTCCCACACTGTTTGAAAATCCTGGCTACGGCATTGTATGGTGGACAGAGCATTCAAGGATTTGCAACATAGTTATAAATACTAAATAAAATGTGTAAATTACTATTTGAAATTCACTGTTATATTGTTTCTTTTTCTCAAATCAAGACACATATACTCGTTAACTCAATACATAATTGTTTATAACCCTATTTAGGAATTAATTAATATTATATTTGATTTTCTAGCTTTCTTACTTATTTTACATAGGGAATAGGGAGATTTTGCAACCTTACGAAAACGATAACGAATACGAATACGTAATTGTCATTATCGTTATTCGTGCCTAAAACAATATTGACAACATGCTGTGAGCTGAATATGATCCTTGATTCATGCAAAAGACGTGAATAGCCGACGTTGTGACAGATATGCTACTGTATGGGATGGGTTGTCTAAAAATGTGATGACGTAACCGTAACTGTTAAGTTGGTTATAGGTTAAACCAGTAATAGGGAGATTTTGCAACCTTACGAAAACAGTAACGAATACGTCATTTTCGTTATCGTCATTCTTGCCTAAAACATTATTGATAATTATGCTGTACGAGCTGAATATGATTCTTCATTTATGCAAAAGGCATGAATCGCCTACGTTGTGACAGATATGCTACTGTATGGGGTGGGTTGTCTAAAAATGTGATGACGTAACTGTAACCGTTATCTTTTTCCTAAGCTTGCGAAATCTCCCTACTATTGTATTACTTACATGTTTACATGTACATGTTTACTTACATGTTGTTCTATTTTTATTACATCATTAATATCAATAATATTATTATTCTTAACAAATGCTGTCATATTTAATTTGAGGGCCATATATATATATATATATATATATATATATATTATTGACATTAATGTTTATACTTTCATGATCATTTATAATACTATTATGATAATAGTTTTTGTTCATTTGTAAGATAAAAGTAGTTTGTGATATAAGTTTTATTAAATGGAAAGAGTTTTTTTTTTACTTAAATCCTAAAGAAACCTATAGTATTCTTTTCTAATTTATATTTTTTATACTATTTAGATTTGTATAATTATGTATATGAGGTTTACTTGGATTTTATAAATTATATTGTATCTATGGTAAGTGTCCCAGTAGTTATGTCTATTTGGTGGCTCACTACCATAAAACGTTAGTATAATGAATACCAATCTAGAAACTATATATAGTTAGGAACATGATTGGATTTATGTATGTAGGCTTTACTTTGCTTCATGAAAGGTAAATAGACACTGATTTTTTTTCAAAGTTTATTTTAACCTATTTTTATATTCGAGTTTACGATAATACGAAAGGTAGGCAACAGTGTTTCAGTTTTGGTATTATCGTAGAAAATTCGATCGTTCTTGGTCGATGTTAGTATAATATGATAGTGGCATAATTACTTCCTGTTAAAATATTTTGGCCTAGGTACAGTAATGACAAATATATACAAGGAATATGTTTAAGGTGAAATTTGAATTGCTTAGGCCTACATTTAGGCCTATACATATTGTTATTATCTATATTCAGACGTCTTAATAAACTGATTGGAAACAATTATGTTACTGCATTTTGTAAAATATACGAGAACATTATCAAAGTATTCACGTGCAGCAGATTAATGATACACACACTGTAGCATTTAGAGCGTCAAAAAGCTACTGTTATAGGCATCAATAACTATATAAATTGTAAACATAACATATACCCGTCACTTAGCACTTTATTATTGATTCTTTGATATCTCAAATTCACTTTTTACAATGAAGTTGCGTTGTGTGGTGTAACTTGTATGAGGTCACGTATGTATACATTTACACATACCTACCCGTACTCAGATACTTCTACAAATTTGACGTGGCACTAAGACATACGTACGTTGCACGCATTCACGATCCTCGAGTGGACTACAGTGGATGTTACACGATGGTGTATGTTATTCTGTCATTAACAGGTTGGAATTTTGCGTGGCGGTATGAGATAAAAATGATAAGTCATTTTAAACAAAAAGTATGAATTGGCATTCGAGACAAAAGTAAGGAATATAGCATATTAATTTTGAATGTTCAAATGCGAAGTTTCCATGGATAGGAAAGTTGCACCAACCGGGATTCGAAGCCGGGTCTTCTGTTGTCTATGCAGACACCTTTCGATGAATTCACTTGGAAACCATTACTCACGCAAATTTTCTTGTATCGCTTACAAAACACTCGCACTTCAAAGAGCACGGAAGTACATCGATAAAAACAGCGCACTTTTAATTTGCGACGCCATAATTTTACCGTATATTTATTATATTATTTCAGTTTGGTAGGAACGTAGCAAAGCTTTTATTATTTAAAATAAAAAACTACAAAACTGGGCACTAGGAACCATTTACAATTTACCATTTCGCACTTTATTTCTCGATATCTTGACCTTTTCTGGGTTGTGGGTGATGTGTGTACTTGGGGTAAGTATGTTTGCATGTAGTGTGAGTGCTGTGTGGTTTGGTGTGTAATGGTTTGTTGTACTTTAGGAATGTTTTTTTTTTTTGCTTAACCAACTTGTGTTTTATTAAATTTATGTAATTGTATTTTATAATTTATATTATATTATGTATATATTTGTGTTTTAAGTGGTCTCCTGTACTTGTTCTGCAAGCGTCACACACTTAAAATATGGTGAATAAATAAATAAAATAAATAATAAAACATTTTAGAAGAGTTCAAATTAATTATTATTTTCGATGCAATTTTGATTAACAATTAGATGTTTCTAATTTCAATAGCTGTCCGAACAAAACGACGTTCGGCACGAAATTGATAATTTGTTTTCATTAGGCCTCGTTAATAGCTGTGTAACATCATGCATATAGGTATCGTTCATTACGGTGTCATTAGCAAGTGTATCGCTGGTTGTAAAGAATTAATTTAATGATCAGTTACAGCATAGAGGAAACGATAGTACAGTATAGTCCTCGGAGTCAACGGCCAACCATTAATTATTTTAAGGAATAGGAGTAGTTTAGTCTCATTGTTATTGTTATTATGATTATTTTTATTTTATTTTATAGTTATTATTTTATTGTTATTTGCTTTTTCTCAGTTGGCCTATATTATTTCTCTGTAAAGCGCATAGGGGCAATGTGCAATATGCGCTATATAAATACAACATTATTATTATTATTACAGTATTGTTGAAATTTCGAAGGCGCACTTCTGTGAAATACCAATACAATATTATATCGTTGGGATTGAAACTCATTTAGAGATAATATGTTAAACTAATAACATAATTCATTACGTTATTTGAATATTTGACCGTTTTCCAAACATACATTAGCCAAGTATCAATTACAGGATGAAACATTAGAATTACCTATCGTTAATCTAGATTTTGTTTTAGGGGGTAAACCTGCATTTATTCATGAACTTCAGTTAATATACTTACGTACCTACTAAATCAATGAAGTACGGTATAATATTGCTGAATTAACTGCAAAGGTGACTACATTATCCAGACAGGAATAAATAATAAGAAAGTAGCCTAAATTTACACAGTTCATTTAGTTAGACGGGTGACCATCGGATTGAAAGTGCTCAAAACATTTTTTTCCGTAGGCATCATTTGTTACATGCTGGCAACAAGGTGGATCCTGAATGTTGCATTTAAATGCCAAATTAAACCGAAAACAAACGGCCAATTTTACACGTTTTTATCAAACAATGGTATTTTGAGGCTAGTACGTTACTAAATAATGCAATTTGGATGTGGGTATCACACGAAAGCTACTAAAATGTTCTATCAAGCGATATGTATGATGACACATTATGTTAATGTTGTAATCAAAAAAGTACAAAAAACCTTTTTGTACTACTTTTTTGACTAACTTAAATAATACATGTTTTATTTATAAAAAATACTAGTCTAACAAGTTTTTCGTCTAACACTTTTCAAAAACTGATGAGTTCTCATCACCAGGTCTTGGCTCACACTCAATGGGCTGTTGCATTTCATTTTATTTATTCGGCTCAGTAAACATTAAAAGAGTACAATACACACAAAATATACAAAGAGACAGGAAACCCAAAAAGTGAACTAAATTGACTACCGGTATCAAATGTGAAAAAATACGTGTATTTTTTTTATTTGGTGCCAATGGCAGGTCTTGTGTCAGAAAGTTGAAGAGAACTGTTCTGTAATAGTCCATACAGACGTGAAGGGAAAAGGGGAGACATCAAACATGCTTACTCTGTTGAGAAAATGTGGACAACAGTGACAGGACCAACAACAGACAAAGCAGAGGTGTAGGTTTATTATGTGAAATTAGCTGAAAAGATTAAGCATTCACCCAATGCTCATCATTGACGTCTATTTTATTTCAAAACAAAAATATCTTCTCCATTCTAAAGATAACATCAATGTTGATGCCATTTACAAAATTGGATGTTTGGAATCAGATGTAGATCGACGAAAATGGTACACCATTCAAAGGGGCAGGTAAACGGTAACACAGGGTTATAGCCTGTGCTACTCGGACCTCCCTGACACACCCAGAAACATAACAATGTCAGCAACCACGAATCATACGACCAAGATTTTGAGTTGTACACAAAATTACTATTTAAATTTGAAAGAAATATAATATTAGAACCTGTTTTTGTCTTTCTCTTTATTTTACTGCTGATCGGCATTTATTTGTATCTTTTGTGTATTTGAGAAGTTAAATTAATTGTGATTTTTTTTGTTGTTGTCTTTTAACTCCTGCCTGGAGAGCCAGGTGATAGTTTTTTATTTTTAACTTTTTGGCAATCCATTGAAGCAGCACAATGTGCTTTATTGTTTTTTACTTTTCCTAGAATAAATCTGAATTAATGTGAAAGCTAATAATATCTCCCACTGAAAAGGTACAAAAGTAGTAATATTTAAATGCAATAGACAAAAATTACAAAATTCAAGAGGCTAGTTTGATTCGAAAACTTGGAAAGAAAATCAAGCGAGAAGAAGGATCAAACAAGCCGTCTTTTAAGGTCAACGCATCAGTTATGGAACTAATGCAGAGGGCAGCACACGACATTCGGAATCGTATTTTGCAATGCAGTTATGTTGTCTAGTTGACAACGTTACACTCAGTACATATAAACTTGGTTATAATTACAGGAATGTTCCGATTTACCTATGTCCTAGAAATCAAATTTAACGCTTTAAACATCTCATAATTACTTGTTATAGAGACACTGTATATTCTGCGTTAATTGAAAATAACAATAATTATTGCGGCACATAATGTAAAATAACTCTACAGGTAGGCCTATGTGCATTAATAATAATAATAATAATAATAATAATAATAATAATAATAATAATAAATAATGTCATCTTATTAGGCGCACGTACCCATCTCTTGTTAGAGCTGCTCGCTGCGCCGTTTTCCACCTGCAGAGTGTACATGTAGCCTTTTTTCTGCATTATTATTTTGAATTAATTAATTAATTTATTTATTTTATTTAATTTATTTATTTTTATGTATATTTATTTTTATGACAGGACTGACATGGATAGGAAGATAGGCAAAATGAGATGATAATACTCCATCACCACACGGGCGCAGTGCGGGAAGTATTATTGTTCCCCCCATGCAGTACCGACAGAAATTATAAAGGGCACTATTTAAGGTCCTTTTTTTTTTGGTATACCCAATGACTGGGTCGAAATTACCCAAGATTCAGCAAAAATTGCCCAAAATTACCCAAGCTTCCTGAAAATGCATTAAAATTTGAAAAAAAAACCCCCAAAAAATGTGTTTTTCGCATGTATAGTTTCCCTTTTAGTTCAATTTATAAACCATTTTTTATTGTAATTGTTTGTGTTAATTATTAAAATGAATATTCATGAGGTGATAATACGGATAGAAAAATACGCCCTCAGTGGGGGGGGGGGGTGCGCCCGCAGCCTCTGCACCACCCCCCCCCCCCCCCCCTGCCTACGGGCCTGAATACATTATAATTTCAGTGGCGGATTTCAGGCCTAGCCTAGGTCTAGCAGGCCCGTAGCCAGCATGCTTCAAGGGGGGGGGGTTCTGGGCGTGGGGTCCAGGGGCCCGCCAAAGGGCCCCAGGTGGGGTCAAGGGGGCTAAGCCCCTGTGGGGGCCGGGGGCGAAGCCCCCGAAGCCAGAGCATTCATACGATTTTAAAAGCATGTTTAAATACTTCTTACACAATTTTAAAAATAAGATAAGAAGACTACTTTTTCCAATACAGGATTTAGAACTTAAATGTTTATTGTGAAACATACTTTTTTTTTATTTTATTAAAAAGCAATGCTTAACAT